GCACGTCCCTCTAGATGTGAGCAGGATCGTCGCTGTGCAGGTGGCACTGGTCTTACTGGTGTTCAGTCACAGCCTGGCAGGTGAGGAATGATCCAGTTGCCTGTGGATCTGATGAGACATCAGGAATTTTTAAGTCCTCCATTGCCAAGATGCTGTTACTTAAATTATTCCTCTTAAGGATAGGCTAGATGCCATTGAGTGATTCTGTTTCTGCTTTTCAAACACTGACAGGGTTGTTCTTGCGATTTTTAGCTCTCCTTTGCACAAACGGCAGTTTTGCTGCTTTTGCTGCTTAGATCACACCAGGCCGCAGGGAATGGGAATGATGCCTGGATATGGATTTTTTGTGCAGTGCTTTGTCTCTTGTAAACCAGAAGCAGTCAGTCTAGCGCTTCTGCTCGGCGGCAGTGGTTGAAATATTAAATATGAACAGATATCCTAAGAGAGCTTCAGTGAACTCGGGGTGCTGGACTCGTGTGCAAGTCTAGGGCTCAGGCATCTGTTGATGAGTGGGTTAAGCCTGATTCGGACTGGCCTTGGTTTGCAAGTCTCACCATGTGTCAGTTGACATAGGGATCTGTGCTATAAAAAAGTAAGCTTAGATAATCCTGTATAGCCCCCTTTAGCCTGGAAACCTGGGGTTTGATACCCAGAATGATAGATTCCTCGTCTGTACTGGAGGCCATGAGGTGTGTAATGAACGATCGTGTGAGCATGTCAATAAAAATAAGATAACTGGTGGGTGAAGAAAGCAAGCAGCGACCTGGCTGGCGTGGATTTCTTGCTCCGCTCCTCGGGAAGTGTGTCTGCAGCTTCCTAAAGCAGCTGGAGTTAGTAGCGCAGCTGCGGTGTCCTCAGTCGCTTCTCGGCAGGGCGACGGGTTTTGATCAGATACTCCATAGCTTGTCTCGCTGCAGTGAGGTCTGACCCAAGGGATGGGAAGATTTTTCTTGGCTTTGAACGTGGCTCTCCCCAGTTAGCTCAGTGAATTGAACTGGTGTTTAGTTCTGTAGGAAAGAATTATCACGTGCTTAAGAGCGTTCCCTGTTTTGTTTGGATTTTCTTGTATAATGTTATTTCTGTCCGAGTTAATTCGCAATTATAACAGCAGAGGGAAACTGTTGCCAAAAAAAAAATCTATAAATCAATTTTGGTTCTTAAATGATCCTTCAAAAGGAGCTCACTGAGCTGAACTTGGCCTTTCTGCATGTGGACAGACATCCTTCTGAACGCAGAGGAGGCTCCAGGCTTTGCTGGGGCAGACGTGACTCTCTGTGCCGAAGTTACGAAATGGCACTCTGCAGAGCTGAATAAAATAGGAATGCACGTCTCCTGGAAGAGCAGAGTCACTGGGCACAGTGTCACATCTCTGGGCTTTGGAATGGTTTCGTGGGATTAGCTGGTAGTAGGGAGATGTGGGTGTAAATCAGGGAATTTGGACTTTGGTAGGTTCAGAAGTAGCTGGGACTGATTCTCACTCCTTTCTTTGCCTGTCTTTTACTCCACTAATGCAGTGACTTAACGCTAGAGTAATTTTACACCCTTTTAATTTTCTTTTACTTTGCCTGAGGGATAGAAAAGTATACATGAAGCACAGATCTGGGAGCTTTCAATATTTCCTTTTGCTCCATTGCAGCTCGCGCTGGGTTTGCTTAGCGATGCCGCGTCCCCTTTCGTCTGCAGCACGAGGGACGGAGGCGCCGGGAGGGACTCGTGCGAGGTCCCACCTCCCTGCATGGCCTTGCTCTGCACCTGCAGCCCCGCGAGTTGGGGAGCAGAGGGGTAGGGACCATCTGCTGACCCCAGTATCTCCCCCTGTGCCCTTATAGAACCTTTGATTGCGTTAGCCTGACCTGTGGGAGCTGTAGGTGCGCACCAGTTCATGCTACGCAGGGGCTGGGAATGATGAAGACTCATCTTTATGTCTTTATACGTCTGTGTGCAGGCACTCCTGGCCGTTAGCAGAGCCTGCGAAAGCAAAGGCTGCCAGAGCTGAGCTGGCAGCGCTATTAATTTTTCACAAAAAAAAGGAATTGTACATTAAAAATACAGAAATCTCTGATGATAAACTCCGCAGCGGTGAAATTCAAAGCGAATCATTTCACTGAGCTCCTTGATGTAGAAATCATTACTGCCATCCTCTGCTGTGTTTTTTTTTTTAAAAAAAAAAAAGAGAGAGGAAAAAAAAGCGTGTGCTGTCGGAGTCTGGTTTAGCATGCAATTAGCGTTGACAGAACAAGTGACTGCGAGTATTTATCAACAAGCCCAAAGCCAAGGTCTGGGAAACATTGCAGAGGTAACGTATTACTCATGAGTGCTGTACTTTATCCTGGGATAGTTTGTACGTGCCTTATTCATAACAGCCAAAGTCATGCGTATAATTAAATTTAGGTAAATACCCTACCAGCTGCAGCTGAAAAGCAATTTAGGAGCAAACTGTGGAACCGGGCTCGTGTGTCAGACGGGAGCTGCACTTCATCTCCTGCTGCAAAGAGAAGGCGCGTCAGAAGTTTCTGGAGCTTCAGTTCGTGCTTAGGATTAATCAAGTTGTGGCTCCATTCAGAGCCTTCCCAAACGTTTGCAAAGAGTTTCCCATCGACAAGCAAACAACAGGTGTTATTGAGTCTTCTGTGAGGTGAAAGCTAGAGGTGAGGGGTGGCTGCGGGGTCCCTCGATGCAGCCGCTCTGGGATCGAGATCGTCCCGAGGGAAAGGAGCCGATGGCTCCGAGCGAACTCGTTCCAACCAACCTTTGAGCGGAGGTAACCACGTTGGCGCTTCTCCAAGCCGCGAGCGCAGCGTTGGGGATCTGACGAGCTGTTGAGATGCGCTGAGTGTATTAGAGTGATTATAGGTCTTCATAATCTGCCTGAACGGGGACAGATAAAATCCGGCAATTGCCGCGCTCCTTGACTTGCAGCTGGATCCAAGCTGGGTTTCGTAGTCACTCGTTTCCTTCTGCTCCGTTTCTCCTTTCCCTGGGCATCCCTGGAGGTTAATCAGTGTATGAGCACATGGGTTTGTGTGTCTCCTTTAAAAGGGTCTGTCCTGGTGTTCTCTCACTCCAAAGAACAAAGAGCAGAGAGCGAAAGGGAGGAGAGGCAACAAGCTGCAGATAACTTAAGGTGCTACAGCCGCTTCCGAGACCCTTCTGTTTTCCCAGCTTTTCACATTTTGTACCTTCTGTGGGTGCTGTGTGGAGGGTTCTCCCAGCACGGCTGTGTGGAAATCAGGGACGCTGCCCTGTGCACAAGGCGTCCTAAAAAAAAGGTTAAGCGCGTGGCTGAGGCATCTAAGCTACGTCTTGATGGGCAGAGTCACCATCTGGAGGAGCTTCTCCTTCCTCAGCGGTGGGAAGCGACGGGATCCTGACGGGGGCACCTCACCGTGTGCCGGGCCAGGACGTGGGATGGAGCAGGACGGGCAAAGGCTGCGAAAAAAGCAAGTTCTCTCAGTTTCTTTTTCAGTTCAAGTCACCCTAAGAGTGAAGGGTACGATCAGTCAGTAGAAACATTTCAGACAACAGTTCATTACTGGAGTTGGTGGTGCCCCTACACGTTTCATTGCATTCACGAGAGAGGCACGACAGAGCTACTCAGCAGTGAAAGGAGGGGTTGGCACGGGGAAATGGGACGCGGTGCTCTTTCACCTAGCAAGATCAGATCCTGCCTCGTAACAAAAAGGCATTTTGTTTTCCATCCCCCTCGTCCAGCAGGCACGTGGCCACGTACCCCGAGCTCTGGCAGAGCATCATCGAGCTCAGCTCGGATGAATCCGTGTGCTACAGGTTCATAAGCAGGTCCATGGCAGCGCTTGGGGCATCCCTTGCCAGACACCTGGCGGTGCCATTGCAGGTCTTTTCACTTTTCTGCAGGGTTTTGTGTTGGGATGGGGGTAATCATCCTCCCGGGATGGAGACGTGCTGGCGAATCCTCGCCGTTGTGAAAAACTTCTGTAATATTGACGTGCTGTTCGACCATGCAAAGCGCTTTTCTGCTTCACCAAATAATGATGAGCTAATAACATTCCCTGTCCTTAAAAGCCCTTTTAAAGCCACAGCTGCTACCATGTTTTATTTTCTTTGGCTGGAAGGGATTTGATTGCTTTTATGTATAGTCACACTTTTATTTAGGTCCGGAAATAAAGTGGGTTAAAAAAGACTCCCTTGGGAGTTCCGAAGGGCTTAAAGAACAGTCTGGATTTGTTGGTGAAAACTGTAGGTCCCGAGCAACTGAAGTCCAAGCGTGGAGGTTCGGGGCTTGCTTCATCTCCTGCCACATCCACGTGTGCCCGCAGGGATTTCCCGAGCTCGCCCAGAAGTGGTTCACAATAATTCACATTTTTCGTGCTGCTTGTGCGGAGAATTGACTTCTCACTCCTCTGAGAAGACTCAGTCACGTTGAACTTGAGGGGTTAGAAGCTGGAAGTCTGTAGTTTAAAAAATCTTGGCAAAAGTCACCATTGGTGAAGGAAGTAATTGTCTCTTTCGTTATGTTTTGCCTTCAGGGGGGCTCGGTGTGTTAATTGGCTTTGGTTGTCGACCTGGTGGGTCATTGCCAGAAGCATCTTTGTTGCTGGAAAAGCTGGAAAATGTGTTTAGAAGAAATTTTGCGTGGAAGTAAAGTTGCTTCCCTCAACAGGACGTGTCACAGGGTGGAGAACACAGTTGTCATTTACAGAACGTTTTTTTCAAAGTGCAGATACTTTAAATATGTCATTTTCTAGAGACTTTAAAAGCAGCACTTCAGCTTTTATGAAGTTGTGCCTCTGGTGTTTCCAAATTTGTCTGCTCCTAGAAAATATATTGCTTTATTTTTGCTGTCCTCCACTGTTTGGATTTTTTTCGAGCTATCAGTGATAAAGGATGCAATTAGTTGTCGGTTTACAAGTGAGAATTAGTCCAGCCCTGTTTCCCAAAGGCGAACGAGGAGCAAAAAGTGTCAGAAGTTATTTTGTTGGTGTAAGAATCAACTGCTAACAGACTCTTTCTTCTGCTTTTAGGAGCGGCCACACGTTACTTGCCTTCTGGTTTTCCCGTCAGGAAGGAAAACTAAATCGACAGCAGACTATTGAACTGGGACATCACATTCTCAAAGCACATATTTTTAAGGTAACAAAAATTAAAATAAAGACGTAACGCCAGCCTCATCGCCACTGTGGATAATCCTCCAGCGCTGGCAGCGTTCGGTCTCTTCTTCTTTTAGAGTTGCTGCAAAAAGTGTGATTGCTTGAGGCTGCTAAAACGTGTCGAAGTGAGCTTTAGAAAATTGGCAACGGTGTCTAAGAAATCCTTGAAATTAAACTGTCCTTCAGACTGTAAATTCAGCCGATAGCCTCCTTACCTGAAATTACTCTTCTACTGTGTAAGAGGTTTCTTACCACATGAGATGAGTTCCTGTGACAACATGTAGGAAAAAATAAATCTTTTAAAAGGAGTGGCTTTGAAGTATCCAACCTAAAATTTAGGTTACAAAGGGAAAATCTGACGGTCGTTAAAATCTGGTGGTCGGTCCCTTTCGCTCTTCACACGGGCAGTTAATTGAAAGGCAGTTAGGGTAATCAAAAGGCAAACTTGGGTGGAAAGAAGAGGATGTATTTGCAAGGTCGCAGGAGATACGGAATTACTTGAAGCTATCAGGATGGACACTGGAAAAAGTGAGGCTGTACTTTTATCTGTATATATATATATATGATTTTATAACTCTGAGAACTTAAACACTCCTGTAAATCTGGAGCAAACAGTTTGTGCCTTGTGTTGGTCCTGTGGGGTTTCTCTGTGGGGTTCCCTGTGCTGCATTCAGGTGTGGCAGCAAAGTCCCCTCGTTTGGGAAGCGATGGCTGGGGCCACAGTGAAGAGCCCCTCACCCCAGCAGTGTGTAATTTTCAAGATTCGAGTTCATTCCTAAGGCCAAATTCAGCCATGAGTTTACTGTTCAGCTGCCATCTCCACCCAAACCTGGTTCCAAATCTTCTTTGTTTCACACTTCCATGGTGGAAACAAATAACAGGGTTTCAGGCTCTAAACAAGTGACGGTTTGCATTAAGTGGACAAGTTGCCTGTAGATTCCAGGTTTAATTGAGCAATATTTACAATAGTAGAAAATGCCAATTAGCATGTGAAAAATGTCAGGACAGCCTTCTGTTCCTAATCGCTCGGCAAAATCTTTTGTTTTCCAACACTGCAGTGAGAATAATCTGTCTCGGTGACCGGTGAGCATAACAGGATGTTGTTTTGAGGTCCTGTAAAGTTTTGGAAGGGTTTGGATTAGCTGGATTAGAAACACTGTAAAATTCAGTCCTTCACTTTTCCTTGAATAGATTTATTTTTATTCCTTTTCGTTTTTAACAAGTGTTTGCTGAGGGTTTGTGAGCGCTTACAGAGAGAAACAAGGGCTGCGTTAGTCTTTGAAGGAGGCATTGAGCTGAAATATTGCAGACCCCATTTAAGGTCTCGAGCATTCTTTAAAGAAAATACTCCTGAGAATACACACGCAGACTCCTTTTTCCCCTGACACTGACTGTATTTGTGTCACAACAAGCATTGTTTTCCATCCAGGCTTTTCGTTCTGCCTAATCTTTTGCTGCAGCCGTTCCCGGTGTGACCGGGGTTCTCTGCCAGGTGGGGAGTGGGTCAGGTCATCGGTTCAGTGGCTTTTTCCTGAAGTTGCCATGTCGTAGCAGCAGCTTTCCGCAGACACGACGATCCTGATTTTGAAGGTTTTTCTGTAGGCCTGATGCCATTGTAATTCCGTTTTATTCACCCGTCATGAGGACACGGAAAGATTAGAACAGGGCTAAAAGCATTTTGTCCAGCCATGGAGTACTGAGAGATCAATGTAGAGACCAACTTTGATTAAAGAGTGCAGAAAACTTACTGTCCTTCTCCAGTCCCTATCAGTACGAATCCACCAGTACCTTGTGCAAGGTGATGATGGGACACTTGGAATTTCCAGGTGTAAAATATCAGCGATGCACAGACATGACACAGGGGTGGTAAGAAGCTTTCCCAGTCCCTCTTCACGTGAGGGCTGAGATCTGCTGGCTTGCTTTTTGAAACCCAAACAGTTTGAAGGGAGGGGAAGTAGAAATGTTTTAGTCTTTTAAAGCATTTACCAGTTTTAGCAGGAGCATATGGAAACTCAGCGTGGAAAGCCTGGCATGGAATGAAAGGGCAAGAAGAGAAATGTGCAGTAATGATACAAGACCCAAACTTCAGGCTGACGTATGTTTTTGCAAGTCAGCTAAAGAGAAGTCTTCAATTTCATCTTAATTTAGTTGTCAGTCATCTAGAAATGGGTGTCCCTCGTCCCAAGATTGAGAACATAATGACAATTACAGGCAGAAACGCTCACTTTGGCAGCTACAGATATGTAAAATTTTCTGATACTCCTTGAAAAACAGCTTTATAAAATCTTATGTTGAAGAGGCCAGTGGCCAAATAGGAGAGGAAGCACTGAGTCAAAAATTAAGGATGCTCACGGCTGCATACGAGAGTGCAGGACCAAAAAAACCCAACAGAACACAAGCCTGTTCAAAAACCAAAGTTATTCAAATGAAACGTGTGTGGTCAGGCCGTGCCTTGGTCCTGGCTCGGGTGGTCCCAGGGCAGTGGAAACCACGGCTGGTATTTCAGTGTGATGTCATGTCGTGTTGGGATTTGCTTTCGCGGAAGGATCCAACTCCCTTTGGAGTTCTGGGCAGGGAGATGGAAAAGGAAGATGCAGTCTGTGAAATGAGGAATAACGCAGTTCTGTGTCAGCAACAGTGATAATGCTGTGGAATGTATTTAAAGGATAAATGTCATCTTTTATGTCTTGCACTAATATCTAAGTATATATGTTCTAATCTGGAGGTAAAGATTTTTATAGCATGTGTGATTATCTTCAGCTGGCTATTCTGAAAATACATTCTCTTGCCCTTCATCCTAGTGGTGACTCAAAGAGCTTATTTCTGCGTTCGATAGTATTGTAACTATTTTTAAATTATTTTAACTGTTCATTATAAAATTGTTTTCTATTTGTCCAATTTCTCTGTACTGAGTTCACTGAAATTTAATATTGACCTCTAATGGCCTGTATCGTGTCGTTTCAAAAGCAGCCTTTAATGGTGGCTAAAATTCCCGAGCTCTTTTTCTGCCTCTTAACACAAGCAGATATTTTTCTCTATTTAGCTGCCTGGATTTTGAAGGCAACAAGCGCGTGGAGTTGTTATTTATAAGAGCTTGTCTAATCTGTTGCTTCTTTTTATGGTGAAACGGTTTCAAGTGACAAATCTGTTGATGGCTGGTGCGATGCTTCAGAATAAGATGTTCGCACGTAGCTATTAGAGGTCTGGGCTCAGATGATGATTCCTCTAGAGGAAACAAACCCCACCTTTTGCTGCTGGCTTTTTTTTCCCCACTGTCCCTGTGGGTCTGTCACGCAAAAGACTTTCCCAATCGAAACGTGACCTCGCTGCTTTGCACGGGCAGGAACGAGCTACACGGCGTGCGAGGAGGTAGAAACCAAGGTTTGCGTATCCGAACAGAATTAGATATGTCTGCACGGTTTCCATGGGAACAGCAGGCTCTAATGGTGAATCGATAGCAGAACAGCAACGTATGGGGCGTCCCCGCGTCACGCGGCCGAGCGCAACGGGCGGCGAGTTGCAAACCCAGTCCTCAACTCCAGCCAGGCAGCCCTTGGCTCCGGAGCGGTTATTGCTCCGTTGATACAGAGAGGGGAAACACGCTTCGCGGTTCTGAGCTCTGCCACTTAGTGTTGCTGGAAAAAGTTGTCAGACCTCCTGTGTGTTACCTGTAGCGTGGTCATGGGTGCCAACTGGAAAGGTTGGACCAGACTGGTATGAGAGAGGGGAATATTGTTCTAGGCTGTCGTTGAGACCTCATTGTGAGCAGATCCTGTCATCGAGTTTAGCCATGTGAATAATAAGGAAACTTTGTGAATCCAGTGCCAAAATAATGTGTACTTTAGCAAAAAAAGTAAAAAAGAAGCATGCTGTGCTCCTTGGCGTGACATTTGCTGAGGGTTTTGGATGGATTCAGGTTGCTCACAGTTTAATCCTGCCTTTCCTAGACCTTGGAGATGGCTACGGTAGCTTCGCAAATTGTTTCCCACGAGCTAATTAACTCACTGCAAAGGTCAGATGTGGCAAATTGTCACCTCACCTTGTGCAGAGCTGTTGGTGTCTTAAAACTCTGTGAGATCCAAAGATGCAGGAACATCTGCCCAGTGTAACTGAGCATATTTGTAAACTTGGGTCTAAGTCTGTCCCTCTCCCTGGAAGCATTCAAGGCCAAGTTGGACAGGACTTTGGGCAACCTGGTCTAGTGGAAGGTGTCCCTGCCCGTGGCAGGGGGCTTGGGACAAGATGATCCTTCGCACCCAAACCATTCTGTGATTCTGAGTCATCTTTTTCTTTTTTAGGGGCTGAGTAAAAAAGTTGGGGTATCTTCCTCCATCCTGCAAGGGCTCTGGATCTCCTACAGCACCGAAGGTCTTTCCATGGCTTTGGCATCTCTGAGAAATCTCTACACTCCAAATATAAAGGTACTGGAGGACGAGGAGGGCTGGGGTGGGCTGAGCAGCTTGCTCATTCGAGCTGGGGAGAGGCCGTCAGGTCAGACGGGATTTTGTTACCCCCGGGATGATCCCACAACTCTTCTACATCAGCCAGGGGTAACCAGGGATCTCCTTTTAATTGCAGTGAGTAAATAGCGAGTTGGCTCCTGTGTGCAACGGTTCCCTCGCAGCTTTCCTCCCCAGAGGTGGGGAATGCAGCAGCTGGGGTTGCACTTGGAGGCTCCAGCTCCGATAAGCCCTAACTGGGAGGCGATGCCAAACACCACAACGTGTGCTAACTTGCTATCCCGGGCCTTCGTGCCCGTTTGCGGGGTGAATGTGTTAGCTTAAGGGGCTTCATCTCTACAGCAAAAAGGATTGCAGTTTCCAGTTGGCCTCCATCTGTAAGGATGTTTGCCCCAGCTCCTTCCCATAGGTGAAAATGCCTAAAATGGCACCTAAAATGGGACCGTATATTTGGTAGGTGTTTTTACTGGATGTTTTATGCCCTTCACTATTTGCTTGGAAGCGTGCCCTGAAAATAATCTAATGTCTCATGGTAAGACTCGGCTAACAGAGGCTCTTCTTTCGCTGCGCAGGTCAGTCGGTTGCTGATTTTAGGAGGTGCGAACGTGAATTACCGCACCGAAGTTCTGAACAACGCCCCCATCCTGTGCGTCCAGTCCCACCTGGGTTACGCGGAGATGGTGGCTTTGCTCTTGGAGTTCGGGGCCAACGTAGACGCCGCTTCGGAAAGCGGCCTGACCCCCCTCGGCTACGCGGCTGCCGCTGGATTTCTAAGTATCGTCGTGCTGCTCTGCAAGAAACGGGCCAAGGTAGAGTGACCACGTTCCTATGAAGAACAATTTAAACTATTCTGTGCTTACACAAGGCAGGGATACGTGGTGTTCCCTAAGAATGTCCTCCAGCAGATGGGACCAGGATGCTGCTGCCCGGAGTTGGCTTTTCTGCTGGAAGGCGCTGCCTTTGAAAATCTCGCCTTGGCACCAAAGCTGAAGTAACTCAGTCCAGGTTTTGGCCCATCCCTACAAGAGGGACATTGAGATGCTGGAGAGGGTACAGAGCTGGGCTGCCAAGCTGGCAAAGGGCTTAGAACACAAGTCTTATGGGGAAAAGCTGAGGGATCTGGGACAGTTTAGTTTGAAGAAGAGGAGATTGAGGGGAGACCTCATCACTCTCTACAAGGAGGTTGTAGCAGGGGTTGGTGTGTTCTCCCCAGTGGAGAGCGACAGGACGAGGGGAAATCCCAGAATCACAGAATGTC